CGATGGTTTTAAAGTTTTGGAAAATACGTTGCGTAAACCAACAATGTTCTCTGTTGTTTAGCCCCAGCATAGAAAAACACGTTTATATTTGTAACACGATTTAATACGAGGAGCAAGTGATATTTTATGCTGGATAAATCGAGCGATGGTAACTAATGCAGTCATTCTGAAAAAAATTACTATCACATTTTCCTTGGTTAGACCTGAAATTCAACTTTTACACTTACGACTCAAACTAATCTCCAGCTATACCAGTTTTTTTTTCTATAGTGTCATGCAGCAGTGGTGACTGATTACTTGTATTTTTAATTACATCCCATGCTGATGTATGATAAAATGATTTAGGTTTTAAGCCAGAGATAGGCACAGGTATTCACTACTTGTAAGTTACTGTTTACCCATCTTCTAGTTGGATATGTTACCTTATACCTTTTGGAAAGTTATGAGCAAGTTTCAAAACGCTTTTTTTATCCATGGTAAGATCAGCAGCAGGACCTAGATACAACGTTTCACTGTTATGTCAAGTTTTATGTGCAGGTGTGTTTGGAGAGCTCTCGGTGATAGCTTTGTTACCTTGAGTAGCTAAAGCGTTGAATTAAACATTTTGAATGTTGTTATATTTAATATTATTAATTCTCTTATCATTTTAACCAGAAAAGCTTAGTGTTAATAGACGTTATCTAAAATTTCCTCAGCCTAGAAAAACTCAATTTATAGAATTTTTCGTCGGAATTATCGCATTTTAAACGAATTGTCAATAATTCCAGCCAAAGCAAGCTTCCTACATAGATAAGAAATAAAAACTATCCAAGTAAGTACTGTATCTAATTTAATACTTCAGTCTAGTTACGTATCTGCCATGTCGTTAAAGAGAGAGAAATAAAGATTAAAATGTATTGATTCGGTAGTTGGATACTCTCGTTTGTTTTCGGCCATAATTATAGTAATATCTCGCGGAATTCGGCCAGCTTAGGAGATTTAAGTTAGTCTTAAATCTATATGTTAAGCTAACTATGCAAAATGATTCTTATAATAATAATAATAATATATCATTAATGAAAAAAAAATCAAAATGTCTTAATTTATACTTTTCGTGAAATTAACATGAAAGAATGGAATATAACTTACGAAAGTGTTACGTATTTGGTTACTTAGCTTGTTTATAATAAAAGTTTTGTATTGAAGGTTTAAAAGTCAATCCTTGCACTTGTAGTCAATTCGTAGATAACGAAACTACTGTATTGTGGTTGAGAAAACTTGTATCACCAAAGTATGTGTAGCTTCATGTTCTAAAGTATCACTGACAGATGTTACATTCCGTGTCAGTAATGGTGTTCTGTAGTTGCGCAAGTATTTTGAAAATAAGGGCCTCAGTACATTAACCTCTCTTCAGTACTCTCATTGTTATTAACAGATAAAAACTCAACACGCGACCAAGTCGAAAGTAAGTACGTATATTTATCAGGTTTGTAATACGTTATAACGTTATCGATTACTTTGAGTCGAGTGCAAAATGACTTCTTTTTTCTTTTTTTCATCTTAATAGAAATATTTGGGAAATAATATCCCAAGCGTGCATTTTCTCCCGACTGCAGTAATATCAGACTAATATGCCATAACTTGATCAAAGAAATATCACAAAATATAAATTGATCTATGAAAAGATTTGACTGAGGTTCAAAAAATCGCTATTACAGATCATAAGAGGCGACAGTTTTGAGCGCTAAGTAATCCAGGTGTGTTTGTGTACTTTTAATTTAAAACAAGCAAAAATTATAATAAATTGGTATATGTGGTTTTAATACTGCATAGAACATACATTATTAATATTTCGCATAATGAGAAGCGTACACTGTATTATTAAAATCAATAGATAGCACTACATCCTCGTGTAGTATTGGGCTCATCTTATTGTGTGTTCGTGTAAATCATATGGTACGCTAATGCATATAGGGTTGATAAAGGTTTGTGTACCATTCATAGCAATATTCTACAAGGAAATAACCCCAGTGACCTTCAAAAAGGTATGTTTATTCGATGTAATTGGTGGTATGAGTGTCCATGACATATCAGCCTGCCCACTCACATCTGCTGTAAATCCTCTATAGATAATGTGCTGGAATAGTGGAAGTCTACTTGAAGTGTTAACGTGGAGAAATCAACCCATCCACCCAAAATTAGTTCACTCCTCCGTCTATGTGAACCTTGAAATGTGTCGTGAAATGAAACCGCTTATCTGGCATTAGGCCCTTCAACCGAGATTTTAATGAAAATTCAGGACTACATGCAAATTACTGTGCATCAGGAGATTCCATTCTGCTGGATTTTAGGTACAGTATGCAACCCACAAGCTACTTATTGCAGTCAGGCATGAGTACACGCTGTCGGCTATCAGGGTGCATAGAGCATCAAATTTGGTATGAGGAACAATGGGAAAAGCAGCATATGGTGTGATCAATCTCGCTAGTAGTTGTTTTCTTTTGAAGATGTGTCTGGGTTGGATGGAAACGAAGAATATTCTTTGAATGTGAGCGTAATGTACCAACTGTGAAAAGTTGTGGGTATCATCATGGCTTGGGCTGTTTTTTAGTTCGTCTGGAAATGTAATTCACTAGTAATTGTTAAGGTGTCCATGAATTGTTGCGTACTACACTTTTAAATGGTCTACAACTGAGTTAAATTGTACCTTGGATTTAGTAGTTAAATAAATGCCGATATACATGTATATCCAGTTTATGATATTTGCCAACAAGATTGATACACACAGTTTCTTTTTTGATACAAATATGTTTTAATATATAAACGACAACAATACAATTTACAATAACAGTTATTACAAATAGTTATTATAAACAATGATTTATATACAAAAGTTTTACAAACTTACACGCAATATAAAGTTTTCTTTCTAGTCTGGAACTTCCATGATATGTTATCGAGGATTCACGATGAGCAAGTTAATTTCGAGTTGATGTAGGTATAATTCCCCTAACAGGGAGCTAGCTAGCTCTGTAGTTCTCACTGATTACAGGTCGAGTTTCTTTTACCGCTGAAGTTATGTAATATCTTCGTAAAAGTACTGAAGTTAAATGGTTTGTAATGTTCGAAATTTATTAGCGTTCCTGGTCAAATATCTGAAGTGTCCCGATTAATA